TATTTAAAGAAATTCATTTTATGGATAAAGTTTAGAGGGTTATTTTAACAAGTCTAATGGAAACCAAAATGTGGACCAAATGTTCTGTGGCAGCAATTTTCAAAAATTTTTTTATGCATAAAGAAGTGAGCATAGTTCAAACCAAGAGAGACTCTATCTAACCCTAAAAAGCTGTACAAAGCAGGGGCTGAGCAAAGTTCAAGCAGAGATATAGGTTTCTCTGGCTTTACGATTTCACTCTCTCTGCAGTGGGAGTCAACCTCTTCTGCAATTAATGGTCAGGTTCTATTGCAAAAGAGGTTGACTCCCACTGCAGAGAGAATGTATATGAAAACTAGGAACTCCCTCTGAAGAAAATTATACTCATGATGGTAATCCAATGGATAGTTGCCTCTCTTTCTGCCTTGGTTTTCAGTGCTACAAACATTTCATTCAGGGGAAACACCATGGTAGAGACACATGCAGGCAGAGGTCTTGTGTCTGAACCTAGCTCCCTCTCCTACACTCGCTCGCTGTGTGCCCTTAGACAAGTCACTGAGCCTCTTGAAGGGTCTGGTACCTCATCCAAATAAGGAGGATAGTAATCCTTGCCCTGTATTTCCCCTAAGATCATTAAGAGGTTTAAATGAGAGAACGAGCATAAGAATATTTTGTATGTGCTTAATGCCCTGTGTACAAAGCAGGGAATAATGGCATCTGAAGTATTAGGAAATGACTGGAACTTTATAAAGATGTTGCTTTCATTCAACGTTAGTGGACTAGACCACATCATTTTATTAACCAGGGTGAAAGACTCCACTAAGAGAGAAAGAGATTGATTTTAGAACAACAGAATTATAGATTTTACTTGACTTTTTAAAATACAGAATAATTTATTTCATCATAAACTAAATACTGAAAAAATAATCACCTTTTCCAGTCATTACATCTGCAAGTGGGTACATGCACAGTGTGAGAGCACATAGGGACACAGATGGCACAAGCATATTTCCATTCTCAGACCATTCCATATTTAGTGAGGAGAGTCCAGAGTCAGGGTTCTTTTCTGTGGATAAGAGCTATTTACCTTGGAGTGGACATACAGGGGACCCTCTCAAGTGATTTGGATCAGGTGACTCCTTTTCTCCTCCCAGTCCTGGTCAGAACAACATATTAGGCATTGATAACTCTGCTTTGGGGTTGGGGTGCTCTCCCAGGTTCTTTTCCTCAAAATTTTCAAGCACCTATTTCTAAGAAAGTGCACATATTGGAAGAATTCCACAGATGTCAATTTGGCAGTCAGGGCCCCTCACTGTGCACCTCTTTTTTAGGCTCTTATCCCTATGAGAAGCCATCTTCCAAGATCCAGAGCAGTCATGTCTACTTGTCCACACCATGGGACCTCACAGGGCTGGGAGCCCACCCTCCCCAGCCCATGTCCCCATATAGGTCAGCCTGATATTCTGTGTGGGAAGCAGTAACAAATGATTGACATCACAGTGTAAGACTGTCTGGACATATCCAGTCTGGAAGGGATCTTGCAGGTACTTGAGTTTCATCTGATACTTGACTTCTTTCCCTTTTTTTTTCTTTCCCTAATTTGTCTTTGAATATCCACTTGCACCTCCAATGTCACAGAGCACACACCTCATGAGGTCACCAACGTCCACTCCCATCAGTGTTGTAAAGGCCGTAGTTTTCTTGTCAGCCCAGATTCATTCCCATGGTGCTCTTTACACATTGGCTGTGCCCTGGGCATCGGTTGGAGCCTTCTTTCCCACAGTAATCCTTCAAGTATTTAAGTACAATTCTCACTCACCCAGCCTAGCCATTTTTTCCAGAGTAAGCACTTTCTGCTCCTTAATTTATTGCCTCCAAGATATAATTAGTCTCAAGTGTAGTCTTTAGAACGCGTCCCTTTTGGCAATGATTTTAGGATTGTTTGATTGGTCGGAGATTGGAGTCCCCCATCCCTGTTCCCTACCAGCCGTGTGCGAATTGCTGAGGATGGAACCATTAGGACCAAGGCAAAAGCAACTTAGTCTCAGAAAGACAGCCACTTGGTTGTGGTTACATTTTGCTTTTAACACACTTCTAGTCCAAGTCTGGCAAGATGCCTGGAATTTATTTGAAGAGAAGGCCCTACTATTAGCGCAGGGTTGCCTCCTTCCACCTGGCACATGAGAAACTCATTCTTTGTTTGACTGAGAGATGACACCAGACACCCGCCCTGCTGGAGCTTAGTCATGAGAAGGCATTTGGAAGCAACAGAAGATTTGCTCAGAAGATTGTGTCTGAGGCTCGGGTCTGCTCTGCTCAGCCTGGGTTGGTTTTCTCATCTGTAAGGTAGGGATGAGTCCTTCCTTGTCTGGGTCCAGGAGAATTGTGCAATTCACATGAACCAGTGGAGGTGACAGCACTTGGTAAGGGACTCTTTAAGTATGAGATGTACACACTGTTCTTTATTTTATTTTTATTGAGGTTATTGGGGTGACATTGGTTAATAAAATTATATAGGTTTCAGGTATACAATTCTGTAATACATCATCTGCATGTTGCACTCTGTGTTCACCACCCCAAGTCAAGTATCTTTCCATTGCCAATTAGGCCCTATTTACCCTCTTCTACCTCTCCCACCCCACTTTCCCTCTGGTAATTGCCACACTATTGTCTGTGTCTACAAGGTTTTTTCCATTTGGTTAATCCTCTCACTGTTTGGACCAACCCCTCAAACCCCCTCCCCTCTGACAGCTGTCAGTCTGTTCTCTGTATCTATGAGTCTGTTTCTACTTTATTAGTTTACTAGAGGCCTGGTGCATGACATTTGCACCCTGGGGGCAGCAGGGTCTCTCAGTTTGGCCTGCACCCTCTTGCAGTCCTGAAGCCTTTGGGGGATGTCCACCTGCTGGTTTAGGTGAACCTGGCTCCTGGCTGAGCTGGCACTCCCGCTGTGGGAGCACACTGACCACCAGGGGGTAGCTCCTGCATTCAGCATCTGCCCTCTGGTGGTCAGTGCATGTCATAGCAACTGGTCATTCCGCCGTTCAGTTGATTTGCATATTAGCCTTTTATTATATAGGATTATTATATAAGATTTTCTTCATTAGAGTCCACATATAAATAAAATCATATGATACTTGTCTTTCTCTGCCTGGCTTATTTCACTTAACATAGTACTCTCCAGGTCTATTCATGCTGTCACAAAAGGTACAATTTCCTTCTTTTTTAAGGCTGAATAGATTCCATTGTATAAATGTAGCATAACTTTTTTATCCACTCATTTACTGATGGGCACTTGGGCTACTTCCAAATATTGTCTATTGTAAGTAATGCTGCAATAAAAATAGGGGTGCATATATGCTTTCAAATTAATGTTTCAAGTTTCTTCAGATATATTCCTGTAAGTGGAATCACTGGGTCATAAGGAAGTTCCATTTTTTATTTTGTGAGTTAACTCCATACTGCTTTCCACAGTGGCTGCACCAATCTGCATTCCCACCAACAGTGTATGAGGGTTCCCTTTTCTCCCCATCCTCACCGACACTTAGGTTTTTGTTTTTTTTTATTTTTTTTGATGTGCACGCTGCTTTTGCTTGTCACTAGGTTGTATACCATCTCCAGTTTGCTCTGCCCACAGCACCCCCACTTTGAAAAAATAGGAAAAGTGATCCATTTTAGAAAAGGACATTCAGAGTTGTCATATCACTGGGGAGGCTGACTTTGTAAATGGAAACATTTCTTCTATACTAAGGAAGATAGTGATAGTGATTCTGCAATCTATTCTAATGATTCCTCACACCCCAACTTAAAACCAAAAGCAACAAGGTGCCTGCACGGCTGGGAAAACACCAGGCTCCCAGAATTATCTATAGCCACAGAGCCACCAACCATGTCCAGGAGTTCAGCCAAGGAAGGCAATGACTGCACGTGCTGATGAGAGAAGCAAAGCCAACCACTTGTTTTGGGTCAGGACACTCTACCCTGCCCACCTCATTCTTCTAGGACTTGATGTGCACAATAAAAATGTTGCTTTTGCTCTAAAATAGTATTTGTGGATTTTCTCCTAGAATTCAGTATTGTCTGCTGAGCTAACAGAAACCTGGGTGTTTTCTGTGATGAATAAATCCAGTATAACCAAGCTGTAATTGCAATGAAATAGGGGAGATTTTTGTTTTCTGAAAACTGAAGCCTGAAACCTAAGAAATATGTAGGCTGTGTATAGACTTACATCGATGGTAACATGTTGTAGCACAAGACTAACTTCTATAAAAATAACTGAGCAGAGGAGTAAACATTCCTGGACTTGGACATGTGCGAGGAGGGTTATTAAAACTCAAAAGTTCATAGGGTCAGGAAATTTAGAGATTAGTGGGTAGTACAAGGACTCTTTGATATGTGCAATGTTCCCTTCTTTTCCAGGAATACAGGCTGGACCAAGTACACAATTTGTGGGACCCAGTGAGAAATGAAAATGTAACAACCTTTATTCAAATAATTTTAAGATGACAACAGCAGGGCATTAAACCAAGAGCGGGCCCCACATGTCAAAGCAGGGGTCCTGTGTGACAGCACAGGTCATACGCCCATGAAGCCAGCCCTAAATACAGGGGACTGTACTCCCCAGTTCCTCTGCTACCCCCGGTTAATGAGATGTGAGTGGTGGAAGAGATGTGTGCCACTCGTGGGGTCAGGCAGTGAAGAACCCTTGTTTGATCTCCATTCTCTTCCTTCCCTCTCGCATCTTTGTGTTGGGTGGACGGAGCCATCCGATTGGAGCAGTCACCTCTCTTCTAAAGAGTCATCTGAACCAAGAAAAAGAACTTCTTGTGTGTTAAGTCACTGAGATATGGGAGTTGTTTGTTACTGCAGCATCAGCTTAGGAGGCAATCCTTACTAATACATGGAGAAGGCCAGAAGTAGAAAGAAATGTCTCAAATCTGAAAAGTACTGCAAAGGGAAGGAACCTAGATAGTGAAGACTGTGTGATGGTTTCCACACATTCGTTTCTCCATCAATGAAAGAAGAACTCAAAACTGATCTTTAACATGCTATGATTCTATGACTATACATAGTGCTACTTTCCCTCAACTCATTTAAAAAATATATTATCTAAGATGAAAGAATACATCTTCTCCTTTAGCTTTCCAGTCTCTTGGCCCACCGCCATCCTTGGCCCAGTCTCAATTCACTGAACACATCCAATACTTTCAGAGGCCAAGAAAAAGGCACTCTCCTGGGGCAGAGTTCTGCTCGGCAGAAAGTATTTTATCAAACAGACTTTAATTTGTCACCACGATTGAATAGGTGCTTGATTCCAAAAATTCCTGCAGATATTGTAAGAGTCTCATTGCTTAAAAAATATCGCTGAAACTGGTCCCTTTTGTCATTGTTTCTATGTTTTCTCAACTTGAGTATCCCATTGCCTTCAGAGTTGTTCCTCGTTGCTCTCAAATACCGGGTTGCTGTAAGACACTTCCTTGTCACACTCCGGTAGATCAGAGGGAGACATTTGGTTCAGTGGGGGCCAAGTAGGGTCATTTGCCAAGGCCCGGTGCCATATCCGATACTGGCTTTTTGATTGATAGCCAAAGTACCTTTTGATTATCATCCATAGGGCTCGGTTTTCAATAATGGCCTCCTGCAAAATAAAAGAGTTGCTCTTTACAACCAGAGGTAAAGTGTTTCCAGGTTATGGCCCCCATTGACTCTAGTAAGACACTCCTGCATTGGCTGCCAAGGCCCAGCTTGACAAAGAACTTCAGGCCTAGACCAACAAATCCAAGGTGGTTTCACATGATAGGTACTCAAACCTTTCCACTTATGGAACTCTTCTGGGAGAAGAGTGAAGTACGTGCTTTTAAGAATCTGGAAACATAGCTTGAAGTAATCTGCCTCAAGGATGAAATTTCTTCTGAATCTCATATAGAAATTAAATTTAAAACCATAGGGTCAGGAAATATAGAGATTAATGGACAGTTCCAGGCTTCTTTGATATGTACTACGGTCCCCCTAACATTTAAAATCATTCAAATGTCACAGTCAATTTCACACCACATCCATATTTGATTTAATATAAAGTGGCATTTAAAATTACTCACCACCAACTGAAATGGACCCTATAGAAAGATGTGCCACATGCATGGTGTGGCTTTGGTATACCCTGGCACATCACTGCATAGTTAAGAACAGAGGTCAGTGAAATTGAAACATGGGCCACAGCCTTGAAATTGAACAGCTCTGGGTTTAAATTCCAGCTCTGACACCTACTATGGACAAATTAATTACCCTATCAGAGACTCAGTAATTAGAAATAATAAATCCTTCCACAGGTGTGTCATAAGGATTATATAACTCCCCTCACAATGCAGGGCATGGCACGGCTCCTACCTCCCTTTTCTACTCTCTGAACTATTTATTTAACAGGCTGTGCACCGTGGCTCTGTTCACATATACCTCTAACCTTCACCTAAAAATAATTACAATGTATTTTTAAGATTACTGGATACCTCTCTGTAGAAACATTTTGGACTGCCATTTTAATTCGTGAGTTAGACTTAGCCTGGAATAGAGTCCAAGATATAAGTTACAATACAGAGTGCACAGGAGGGTATTATCATTTTTATCATGTTTAGTCATGAAACTGAGGGTGCTTATGACTTTGATTAAATTTAGCTTTTGAAACCAACCTCTAGAAATAGTATCTCTTTCTGTGGGTCTATACCCCTCAAAGACCTATCCTTCCCTGAATAATAGCAACCCCCGAGGCAGCAGAAGGCAGTTGCCTGGACCTGACTAATGATCACAAGGCCCAGACCCCTAAAGGTAACATCATGACCTAAGTTATGTTTCAGTTCCTGAGCCCAGGATGGAACCATCTCCTGGCTGCTTTCCTATGAGACCAAGCAGAGGGACACTGGGAAAGAACTCAGAGCTGTCCTCAAGGCCTGAAGAAATAATTTATTACCCTTACCTCACCTCCTACCAATCAGCTTCCAGCAGGACTGTGAACCCCTAACCCACCGTGTCTTGTGATTTTTGCCCTGTATGATCTGTAACCTACACATAACAAGGGAGTTCAGGCTTTTGAGCATTCGTTTCCTGTTCTCCTGGGTGGTGTCATTCATCAATAAAGCAGACAATCTTTCTCCACTGCGATTCTCAGGGTCTAGTGTTTGGCTCTGCTAGCGCCCGTGAACGAACTCCTTCTGCTCCCTAACAGTCACAAAGGTTGACCATCTTAGAAGTTATGAAAGAAACAAAGCAAAAAAATATGAGGAGCCAAGCTGTCCCACAGAATTAGAACTGGTTTTGGTGTCTATCAAAGATATCTTTGTTGAACCGAAAGAGTTAATTCTGTAGTATTCTACAAGGAACTTTGCCAGGGATAGTAGTTTTCCTGTAATCCACCTATTGCCCATGGAAATAATAGAGAAAAACTCGTCTGAACCTTCCTATAAAAACTGATCATTCACCTAAGTGAAATAAGCCAGTCAATGAAAGAAAAATACCACATGATCTCACTCATTTATGGATAATAAGGACCATTATAAACTGATGGACAAAAATACATACAGAGGCAGAGCAGACTTT